TGGGCCCACCACGCCTGAGCAGGTCCTCTGTGCCGATGTCGTGCTATTGCCCTCGCTGCCAGGTGCCCTCCTGCACGCCCTCTTGCACGCGCCGGCCCTCCGGGCGTTGCTGTACACGCCGACGGACGAGCACTTCGGCATTGTGCCACTCGAGGCTATGGTGTGCGGCGTGCCCGTCTTGGCCACGGACACGGGCGGCCCGCTGGAAACGGTCGTGGATGCCGAGCTGGATGCCCGCGGTCAGCCCCAGGCACGCGATGCGACGGGCTTTCTGTGCGCGCCGAACGCCGAGCAGTGGGCGGACGTGTGCCACAGGGTGCTGGATTGGGACGACGATACACGCGCAAGGATCGCCTCCGCTGCCAAGCAGCGTGTGCAGACGCACTTTTCCGTGCGCACCATGGGCGCGGCGCTCGATGAGCATGTGCGGGCCGTCGGTGCGCAGGCCGTGCCGCTTGGCGAGCGCATCCAGATATTCGGCGTCGTGCTGACGCTGCTGCTGATGCATGCCGTGGTAGTATACGTAGCGCTTGGTTGGCTATAAACTACAACTCGGTCCAGCCGGACTGGGTCTGGCGCTCGCCTGTCAGGAGCGTAAGCACAAACACGAGCAGATTCGCCGAGAAGCCCATGCCGAGACCGCGATACAGACCGCGTACGCCGCTGAGGCGCGAGTGTGTATATGCTGCCAAGGGCGGTGCCTCGTCGTCGGAGCCGTCGTCCGACGCGGCGACTTTGCCCGGTGCCGTCGTCGTCTCTTCGGTCAGGATGCGGTATATCGTCTCAGCGACACCGCTGTACGGCACGGGGCGCGTCTCGACACAGGTGCGCAGGCCGCGGCGCGCTGTGTTCGCGTTCGGTGCCGACAAAAGGCCGCCGACATGGTCGGTGCGTAGCGGCTCGTGGTACTGCAGCTGGAGACGCCGGCGAGCTGTCTCGATAGGCAGCGTGATGCCAAGCGAGAGCGTCGACACGACGAACTCAGCGAGGGCATACGAGATAGGAAAGGCGCTCGGATCGAGATGCAGGACATTCTCGATGACGAGTGGCGCGCCCAGCGAGAAGAGCGGCCGGAAAAAGTAGTCGAGGAGGGTAGGAATCAGCAGGTTCGGATGCAGGTACGCCGTGCGCCAGCCACCCTCCTCGCGCAGGATCGTGCGCAGTGCGTCGATGGGCCCATGGTACTTTCGGTGCTGCGGCAGCATCGACTGAGCAATCAGACGCGTCCGCACAAGGTCAAGAGGCGATACGAGAAAGCCCGTGAGCAGACGCGTGGTCATGAGCAGCGTCAGGGTCTTGATGGGCTGGGGCGAGAACGCAATCGGCATCGGATTGAGCGCTGATGGCGCAAAAATGGACAGAATGCCCGTAAGGATCGGCTGTACCACCAACGTCGACAGATCGAGCAGAAAGGTGGTGAGGGCGCCTTTCCACAGACCCATCCAGCCCTCTTTGCCACGCACCACGGCGCGGATCATCTCCATGACGCCGCCCTTGACGACCACCGGCATCATGAACTCGGGGCGCGTGCTTGTATCGTCGCGCCGCTCCGGCACCACATAGCCGCCCTCATCCACACGTCGGCGGGGCTCATGGGCCGCGTCGTCCGTAGCATCGCGAAAGTACTTGCTTGGCTCGTCGTCTTCATCATCCACTGGTGCCTCGCTCCACGGATCCTGCTCCACCTCGCTCTGACTGCGCTTGCGCCGCTTGTGAAGCGACGTGCTCGGCACATGCATCCGTTGCCACACATCTTCGCGCGGCACCCATTGCACCTGCAGGAGCAGCTTCCCGACTTCAAAGGGCATGGCCATGCACGTACTCGTGTATTGCAGTGCACCACTCACAAGCATGCCCGTGACCATCGCGCCGACCGTGGTCTTATTCGACTGCATGGTCAGCAGCGCTGCATCCGCATCTGCCGAGAGGTACCGGTTGGTCGGCGTGCGTGGCACATACACGGATCCGCCCCCCGACGCCGAAGTAGCATTCGCGTGCGGTGCCGTCGCGATGAACGACAGGTCTTCCCGCGGCCGCTGGTATGGCCGCAGGACTTGACTCGCTCCGGAATCCATCTCAAGGGCAAGAACGAAGCGCGGCGATGGCACACCGTGACATGTTGTGGAGGGGTCCTAGTAGGCTACGTAGCATCCACCATGGCATGCCCACGGCGCATGGCATGCGCTGAGCATACTGCAGAGGGTATGGACTCGGTGTGACAGCGGCGCTAGGGCGCATCCGGGTGCGGCGAAGCGAGCGGGGCCGTGGGGGGCGGTGGCGTCGGGGATCGTGACTCGTCAGCGGAACGCGTCGGCTCCATGCTTGGCTGGGGAGATGCGCGCCGCAGCTCGTCTATATCGTCTTTGGTGAGCGACAGCGCCGTGGGCGGGCGTCGCAGCATGAGGATCGCGCGGACGGCAAGAGGGGCCTCAATGGTAGGAGGCAAGGCCGTGTCCGTCACGTGGTATCCACATCGATCCGTTGGCGCACCGTAGCCGTTTTTTTTTTCTCTGCGACCATGGGACGTGGACGTGCGTACCGGCGTGGACATGGGCGCGGCGGGCGCGGCGGATCGAAGCGGTCCGGTGAGCGCCACGGCGAGTACACGGCGATCGAACAGACCAACCCCAAGTTTGAGGCGTACTACCGCGACCAGGGCATTGTGCCCCCGAATGAGTGGGAGGCGTTTGTGGAAGCGATGCGGGCGCCGCTGCCCACGACTTTCCGCATCACGTCCGGCAAGCCAACATCTCGTCAGCTACTGGATGCGATGCACACGACCTTCCTTCCGTACCTGTCCAATGTGACGTTTGAGGGCGAAAAGGTCACGCCACCGCACCAGCTCGAATGGTACCCCGAGGGCCTCGGATGGCATCTGGACGTGCGCAAGAATGTCTTGCGCAAGTCGCCCGAGTTCAAGCGTTTTCAGCAGTTCCTCGTGCACGAAACAGAGGTAGGCAGTATCTCACGCCAGGAGGCCGTGTCGATGCTGCCACCCCTCTTCCTCGACGTGCGTCCCGAGCACCTCGTGCTCGATATGTGTGCGGCGCCGGGCTCCAAAACGGCGCAGCTGATCGAGGCGATCCACTCGCCTCTCACGTCGTCGCCGGACGCCTTCGACCCAATGCCCCTCGGTGTCGTCGTCGCGAACGACTCGGACACGAAACGAGCTCACATGCTTGTGCACCAGTCCCAGCGCCTGCCATCGCCCAATCTCTGCGTGACCAATGTCGACGCCAGCAACATGCCAAACATCCAGGTCTCGTGGAAAGGCGAGCAGCCGTCTGACCCGATCGAGCAGCGCGAACTCAAGTACGACCGTATTCTCGCCGATGTGCCATGCTCGGGTGACGGCACGCTCCGCAAGAACCTCGCGATCTGGAAGGACTGGACGCCTATGAACGGCACGGGCCTGCATGCACTCCAGCTGCGCATCTTGATCCGTGGCCTGATGCTGCTGCGTCCAGGCGGCCGACTCGTGTACTCGACGTGCTCCCTGAACCCCATTGAGAACGAGGCAGTGGTCGCCGCTGCGCTCCGCCACTTTAAGGGCGACGTGAGCATTGTGGATGCCTCAGGTATGCTTCCGGCCCTGCAGCGCCGCCCGGGCATGACGTCGTGGAAGGTCGCACCAGGCCGTGGAGCTCATCTTTTTAGGGGCGCAGAGAAGACAGACGAGTCAGCTATTCCATGGATCGAGTCCTGGGACGCGCTCTCTGGCCTTGACGCTGATCTCGCATCTCGCACACCCCAAAGTCTGTGGCCACAGGGTGACGAAGAGGCATGGCACTTGGACCGCTGTATCCGTGTATACCCTCACATGCAAAACACCGGTGCCTTTTTCGTGACGGTGCTCGAGAGAAAGAGCACGGCGGACGCTGTGTCGCTCGCTCCAGGAATGGCCCGTGCGATGGAAAGCATGGCTGCTCAGCACGCCGAAGCTCCCAGCGCCAAGCGTGCCGCCGACGAAGAACCAGAACACGAGGCCAAGCGGGTCAAGCAGGACGAGAGTGTGCCGGATATCGTGCCAGTAGATAAACACCGCATGGACCGCGATGCTAAGCGACGCGCTCAACTCGCTGATGCCCCCATCGGTGCTGGTGGCATGCCATATCGCGAGGATCCCTTTGTGTACGTTCACCCATCCAATGCTGAGGTGCAGTCGTGCGTCAAGTGGTTCGGCCTACACGACTTCCCTGTCGCCAATCTCCTTGTACGCAACTCAGAGTGTGTACCGCTTCGCAGCGTGTACCTAACGTCGAACACGGTTCGTGCGATCGTTGCTGGCGGTGGTCCAGGTGCCGGTGTACATCCGGCCCAAAATCCACTCAAGATCCGCCTGCTTAACTGCGGTGTCAAAGTATTTGGCCGACAAGAATCGGTCAGTAAAGCAACCCAAGCACAGCTTGCTGCGCCAAGCGACGATGCAACGCAGCGCCGTGAGAATATATCGTCAACATTGGCTTGCCGCTGGCGTGTGGTCAGCGACTCACTGCATTCAATGCGCCCCTTCTTGAGCGACAGGGTCGTTCTCCAGGCCACTTTGTCCGATCTCGCCTTTTTTATTCGCGAGTATTATCCTGTGCTCGACAACATTCCTGGCACTGTGGGAGAATTTTTGCGCAAGGCCGAAATGGGAAGCTATGTCTTGGATATCCAACCCAGTGAGCACGAAGGGCACAAGCTAGATGTCACCTTGTCTTATCCTATTTGGCGCTCCATGGCGTCAGCTAATCTCATGCTCGATAAGCAGGAAAAGAGCGCATTATCCCTTCGCCTCTTCAATACTGATGTGTCGAATCCAGAAGGCCAGCGTCACTTTTCCGCCAATCCCCAGGAAAGGAGGCAAAAAGAACAAGGGCAAGATGATGATTCTTCAAAGGAAAGTAAGCAGCAGGCAGAGTAAATTTGCGCATAGATGAAATAATCCTAGCAGCAACGTGAACCTCGGGAGTCACGCATGATAATTGAACGTATAAAATTTGTGACGACAAAAAGCATGCGCCAAGGGGGAATCGAACCCCCGGCACAGCTAATCTCCACATACATGGCAAAGCTGTATTTTACCACTAAACCATTGGCGCGTCCGTTGCCCAATCAGATGGAATGCGTGGTATGTAAAGCCTTGATCATCATTGTTCATGATGACAAAAAGTATGCGCCAAGGGGGAATCGAACCCCCGGCACAGCTAATCTCCATATGCATGGCAAAGCTGTATTTTACCACTAAACCATTGGCGCTGTCTCGCATCGAGTCTACCGGTGGCTCACATTCATGTACCACACGAATCTGGTAGGAAATAGCTACCCCGCGAGAAACGCTACCATTCCCTCCGAGGTATTTACTATTATCATTTGCTACTTTTTCCTGTAAACCAATCCGTCCAGCGATGCCACATACTTGTTGGTTTCGAAGCTAAGACAAGAGTGTCAATGGTCTGCCCAACCGCAGTGGTCAAGCCTGGTAGGGCTAGTCGGATTAGGACTCACCATTCTTGTTTTGAGAGGACGCCTGTTCGTCCTGTTGGTTGGTATCGTTGGATGGCTCTTCTGATTTGCTGGAGGTACGTCCCTCATACTCGTCCACGAACTGCTGTAGTAGCTCCTTTTGGCGCTTGGATAGAGACCTGCACGTTAGTATTTATATGACATACCTTGGTATAGAGACATCAAACTGCACCATAAGATCACCGTTGTGCTCATATGTCTTCCGACTTCCAAGACGAGGCACGCCACGTCCACGTAGAATCATTTCCTCACCCGGTTGTGTGCCTGATGGAACACGCACATCCACAGTGCCGTCCAATGTGGGCACACGCACGCGGCCGCCTAGCACGGCCGTGTAGAATGGAATGACAGCAGGATAGAACAAGTTCGTGCCCTGACGACGCCAAACCTTGCTGGGTTTTACGTGTATACGCACGTAGAGACTGCCAGTTGGTCCAGCGCCCATCAGCGGCACGTCTCCTGCTCCATCCTGACGAATGCGGTAGCCATCATCGACACCGGCTGGGATGTTCACAGTCACCGAGCGCGTCGACTTGACGCGGCCAGCACCTGAGCATGTAGAGCATTCATCTCCTGCCGCGATTGTCGAGCCGGTGCCGCTGCATGCCGGACACGTACTAGCCATTTGGAAGCCACCCTGGATCACAAAGGTACGTGTGCCAGTGCCGTGACAGACTTGGCACGTTGTGCGCTTGGCTTGCGGTTTCAAGCCAGTGCCAGTACAGGTGCCACAACGATCGATGGGATTAATGGTCACTGTGCGTGAAGTACCCTTACACGCTTCCTCGAACGACAGTGTAATAGACGCCTCAATGTCCTCGCCACGCGTCTCGCCACCAAAGCCCGTGCGAGTGGCTCGGCCACCTCCAAAAGCGCTGCCGAACAGTGACTCAAAGATGCTCTCGGCACTACCAGGGTGAAATCCGCCAAAGCCGGCAGCACCAAAGCCGGCACCAGCTGCGCCGCCGAACGGATCAAATCCCCCCATGCTGGGCCCATCCGCCGAGCCAAACTGGTCATACGAAGCACGCTTCTGTTCGTCACTTAGAATATCATATGCTGCTTGAATCTCGACAAAGCGCTCCTTGGCACCAGGCTCTTTGCTCGTATCGGGATGGTATTTTTTTGCCAGTTGATAATATGCGCTCTTTATGTCCTTGGTGCTGGCGTCACGCTTCACACCTAGCGTGGCATATGGGTCTTTGGATGCTGCTTTGTGGGTGCTGTGGAATCCACGCATGCATGCCGCCTTTGTCTGGGCCAGGCAGGGCATCGCAACCGGGCGACGACTGGCAGACGACACTGTCACCAGTGAACGACTCATGGTCGAACACTTGGCCTGAAAGGCACGCGGGAGCAAGCGCAGACTTCCTGAAGCTGTACACATGAGGCCAGAACTAAGTTGGCCTAGACCTGTCGTTGGCATGAGAGTCGCGCCAGTCACACGCTTCCTCCGACGTCAAGTGGCGTTGGAAACAAATAGTACGTAAAAGAAGCCTTTTCACTAGCTCGGACATTATGAAAGAGCACGTGGCTTCAAATGGAGGTGCGTCACCTGAGCTACAGTTGAGCGTTCGAGCCACGCTGAAGGGTGTCCAGAAAGGCACGAGAATAGCTGGCGTCAGGCGATGCATGCTTACCGCTGGCACTGCTCAAACACAGTGTAGAAGGCACTCGTACCGATCTTGAGGGTGAGCCGCGAATATACGTACATAATAGGGATCCATTACCGTGGCGTTGTCGTCACTGGTATGTGAGTCGATTGGATGAACCTACAATGCAGAAAATAGTTTGACCCTTTTATCATGAGTAGCATGTACGTACTGTGCTTTGGAGTCCTTTGGTTGCATACGCTGGAGATTTTTGACATTATTGGTGCTGGGTGAGCGAAAGGTCAACGTACTCCATGCCGAAAATATAGTGAAACTTGTAAAAGTCATCCCGAGTGATGGCCCGGGCGATATGGTTGATCGGTACTTGGTTCTCTTGGCAGACTTTTACCGTGCTTGCGTGAGTATGAATGGGCACGTACGTGGAGTGAGGTTCTTCGCCCTCATGATAGTCAGCGGTGCCGCAACTGTCAATCACGCCAAAACAGTCTTCGGCGCGCTGCTTCTGTACCGTATGACGAAAGACGGCTTCCGCCATAGGACTTCGGCAGATATTACCCAAACAACAAAAGAGGACGTTGATCGGTTCAGGCGACATGGCGATCCGTCAAGGCGGTGTTTAGTCGAAAAAGGACGTTTTTCTCCACCATAGCTACGTGACCTACTACATACGACCCAGGGCCGCCATGGACTGCACAAAGGCAGACGGTGTGAGAATCTCGGTACTGCCGTACGTGATTTGCTTTGAATTTGATGAGCTAGGCGCCATGCTGCTCGAACTAGTAGTGGAGCGAGAAATGTATTCTTGCAGGTTGGCAAATTCAACGTGGCTACCGCCCCCCACGACAAAGACCACGGCATGAGCAAATGGTTGGCGTGCTTTAACGCCACCAGCTGCCATCACGGAGGCCCGTCCGCGAGGCTGACGCGGGTCAATGCACAAATAGTCATCCGTTACTTGCAGTGCCTGCGCATTAGCGCTGGCTGGATCCATAATTGAGGCGACAAGACGCGTCACAGCAAAGTCCTTTTGGACCGGCAAAAAGTTTTTGACGCCAGCCACGAGATTCTCCAAACGACTATCTTTCAGCTTGTCTGTAAGCCGGCTACCCAGCGAACTGAAACCCTTGAACAGTTCGTGGCCGCTTTGAGTCGGTGCGGGTGTGGGCGTTGAGAGTGTAAATCGCATTATTTCGCGCGCCTTCTTCGCATAGGCCACGGAAGCCATGTCTGCACCTTGTGTCCTTAGTGCCTCTTCAAAGTCTTCCACTTCTTTGCGACTCAATGCAGTATCAGCCATCGACAAATAATACACGAGGAAAAGACGCAGCTTGTCCTCCGGGTTCTGCATTGCCGGATTCCGAATAGCTTCCAGAATAGCCGTCTTACTTTGCCGGGTAATTGTCTCTTCCATCTGATATAATTCGTCTAAGCCACGAGTTTTGATGCCCTGCAGAAGAGCTGTGGCAATATTCATATGTGCATCAATTGTGCGTTTTCGTGCCGTGAGCTTAGGGAGCGCGGTTACAGCAGCTTTCAAATGCGATGCATTCGACGACGCATCCAGCTGTCCCACCTCATCCATGCTGCTGATACCTGTTGAGCGCATAATTTCATTCGCTTCTTGACGGTACTGATTCAGTTCAGCATCAATACCCTCCGCGACCTGAGGGAAAGGAAGATCCGCGTTCTTGGCCCAAAAGTAGTCCTTGGAGTCCAGGTCGTACGACTTTTTAGCCGTAGGCGGCTTGTCCGGTTCCTGCACTATCACACGGTTTAGTTTCGCATCCAGCACATCATACACTAGGGCTTGGTAGGTCCATGAATGCGCAATCATGGGAATCAGATCCACGTTCCGGTCCATCAAAATTAGCACGGGGCGCTCATTGTTCCATGTACTCGACGAGGACGCAAATAAGCCAGAAACGCCTCGTGACGATGTCGACTGCTCACGCAGCTTTCCTTCAAGCTTGCGTGCAACGAGTTCCGCCGCACTACCGCGTGGAGCGCGAATAATCGGCAGAGTTCCCATCGTGGCAAAGACAGAGAGAAGACCGGCAGCGATGCGATCCGTCTCGGCCTCGACGTGTTCCTGGCCATGCTGCGGGTTGTGTAGCTGCTCGTAGGTAGTTGGTACATTGGTCGAGCCCGATATGTGCATTTTTGGAAGCAGCTGGAAAAGCCTGGGTTGCAGCACGATATAGTCCAAGTATTGGTCGTATACCTGTCGAATGTGAGCTCCGCCATTTGTCTGGGCGACGGCTTGGGCCAATTGCTCCAACACAGGTCGTGGTACCATTGAGGTAAAATTGATGTAAGACGACTCGTACAAGCCATTTGAAATATCCTTGGCGATTCGTGCGACATTGTCTTGCGTGGGCGACACGAAATACACAGCGGGCACATCTGGCAGAGCAGGCCGATCGGCATGCAGCTGCAAATGCAGTGTAACACCATTCTCACGCAAATCTTGAACACGTAAGCTGGTAGCAAGAATATCCGTGCTCGTCTGATCCATTATTAGGATCTTCCATACAGGCGGCGCTGTAACGGCAGGGGCATTATCCTCTTGCTTGCTCCGTCCAGATGTGTGAGAGAATGTGGGGTCATTAAAGTTGAGCATTGACAAAAGAGAATGCACTTGTGCAGATCGAAGTGAGGTTAATGATGATGATTCCGCGGCCTGCAAGCCCGCGCCTGCTGGCGCTGCCATGGACGACGCAGCTGCCATACGCCGTGTTCGATAGCGAAATGGGGCCAACGACCCTCTGGCGACACGAGGTCCGGCTTCACGTGGCGTCCATGTGGATCCATTTGTGGAGGGTTCGGCAATTAGGCATGTTGGAGCCGTGCGGTAATAAATGAACGGACTTGTCTGCTCCGGGTTGTGTGCTTTTACCCATGTCGTTACTCGCAGGCACCAACAAGACTCGCGAGGAATGGGATGAGCTTACGAAACCATTCGT